GTTGATATCTGAAATGGTCCATATTAAAAAATAGAAGCATGGGATTAATAAACGAAATGACACGGAGTCTTTGCCGGATTTATATTCTGATTTATACATTCTCTTTCTCCTTTCTAACATCTTCTTTCCTTTTCCCCCTATTTTTCGGTTTTCCGTCCTCGATAATGTTTTTCTGCTTGACATTTCGTTTTTTGACATCGTGTACGTCAGATGCTCGTTACCTTTGCGAATTTGCTTATAATAACCCATTCAATTAAAAAGATTATTTTATTGTACCACGAAATGGACCACATTTTACATTTTTTTCTCGTTGTGTATTATTCTCTTAACAGATTTACTAAGGTATATTATCATATTATTAATTTTTATGTGATTAATATTAGTTCTTTTTAATTTCTTTGTTTACGGTTACTTTTCCAGAATTTTCTTATGACTTTATTATTTCTTGATAAAAATGACTCGCAGCGTATTACACAGAAAGAAGAAATTTTATGTTAAGGAATTGTAAGAATATTGTAAGATATGAATTTTTAAAGATATTTATTTATTGTATAGTGAATTTAGAATGATATTTATATTATTGTAAGATTGCATTGAAAATGACTCGATTGGAGTTGAAACATTTGTTTTATTTTATTTTATTTTAATTGTTTTGTATTAGTTTTGCTTATTTAAATTAAAATCGTAAAAATTTTATTTTTGTATTCGTCGAATTCGTTTTAAGTTGATTTGATATAGAAACATGCTACAAATATACGAATTATGAGTTTGTACCTCTTTAATTAGCTAAAAAGATCATTATTTTCTTAGCATTCATAAAGTACAGTAGTTACACTAAAACACGTACAGTTAGTTTATGAAAAATAAGGGATTATCGCTTTAGAAGACTTGTGTCAGTATCAGTTTCTCTTCATTCTTTCTTCTACATTTAAAATTGGCATATTACAAAGTCATAAGATATTGGTTTATTATTGACAAAAATGTTTTTTATTAGATTGCTCTTTATTCAAGATGTTATGTTCGAATGATGCAGTGCACGTAAAGTGAAGGGGCTCCGCCAGGACGAAGAAGTCGCGGGGAGGACGTTTTGCACTATATAAATCCTCTAACTTCTATATATAAACTAGTCTTGGCCCAGTCGTCGAATCTGGCTGTTCAAAATTAATCTGCATTATACAAATCAAATATTCTCTAATAAAACATTACACTAACGTTTGCACGGACAAAGTTAATAAACAATGCATTTTTAATATATTACTCATTGGGATAAACGTGTCTTCTTTATCTCGGCGAAGAACATAATTCTAGATCTGCGCATTAATGAAATTCTTTACATGAGCAAAAAATTCTTTACACTTCATCCTATTGTATTTCTGAAATTGATCACTTCATAATCGATATCGATATAGACCACAGTTTGTATTAACGGGGAAGTAAAAGTGATTCTAATTTTTGGATTCAAAGTATGCATTATGTCACGTTTATTTCGTATATCTGCCATTTCGCCACTTTATTCTGCGTTTCTGCACAATTTCGCAGTTGTAACGACAACAATATTCATTTATTACCCGCCTACGCCATTGCCTCGAGAGCTAGTCTTCTTGGTTCGGCAACATGTGCAACGGAATTACGAGCTTTCCTAGACGCTGTCGATCAACGGATACTGTGGGGTTTAAAAAGTAAGTACAATTCGTTCTTAATCATGATTAATTTTTGATACCTATCGGATCGATAAAGTAAATGCAAAATCAAGAAAGTCAATCACATGAACAATCTCGCATTTACTTCATGTTGAGTTGTTTCATTGTACCATTAGAGAATTAACTAAACTCCGAAACTAAATCGATTTGTTGTATAATTTTACCTTTGTTTATAAAATAAATAAATCAAAAGATTGTCAGTAATCATATCCCCAAATAACACATGAACGTCCATTGTACATTCACTGGACTTCCGATTCTGGACATTTTCTGTCCATAGGATGTACATTTGTAACAACTTTGTACGTCTATAGAATATCCAAAACATATTTAATTTCGAACCTATTATAGATGTGTTATGTATTGATTTTGGATATCTTTCGTTTTTGAAGAGCTTGTTGCAATAGTAATTACTGTATGATAATAAGTGTTTATTGGAATATGCTATCATCCAATATATCCTCTGACAGTATCTTATTAATTTACTCCGCTTTCATCAAATGTGAATTGGCCCAGTATTGCAGTAAGAGTCCAGATAGCCAAGCGTGATATAGCATATTGTGCAAACTAATGCATTGCATATGTTGTTATATATGTGTATTTTAATAGAAAAACATTGTAAAAGTAAAATCTAAATACGGATACATCTATTAAATGTTTTGAATATCCGTATAACCCCGATAAAAAATTTATTATGCATGAATATGTATAAATACGTATAAAAAAAAATATTTATAAACACATATAATCGTATACGAATTATGTCCATATATATTCATATATTCCTCTTTCTTCTATAAAATTACTTTTTAATGAAATAGAAATAATAATAGTAATGTGAAAACA